TTTTTAGTCAACTAGAATTGTTGTTTTGCTCTAACACAACACTACACGTTCTCCTAAAAATTTTTGCGACATGGCTGACCAAGATTTTAAAAGCAAACTTCAGTTTGAAGACCCAGCCGAAGAAGAAGAGTTATATCTTGACAAGCGAAAGATCGTGAACATTGCAAATATTACTAGCACTTCCGGAGATCGGAAAGACTTTACTCCTCTCAACGAACTGATCAACCTAAAATTACTTTCCTTAAATTGTACCCAACTTCATTCCCTAGATGGCTTTCCACCGTTGCAAAAGCTTAAAAGGGTGCTTGTTTTGCAATATTTCTTTAAAAACCAGCAAATCTGCTAACACGAAATTCTAATATAATTTTTTTTTCGTTACAGCTCGCTCTATCCGATAATAAGATAGTCGGTGGTCTAGAAACATTGGCAAATGCCAAGCTTGAAAATTTGAACCACCTTGATCTGAGCAACAATAGAATAGCCGAAATATCAGCACTTAAACCTCTGGTAAAAAAAACAATTTTTCGTGTGGTTATTGAATTTCGTAAAACGGTTCACAATCAAAATTATTGGTTTATAATCGATTTGAACCCAATTCGATTTTGATGCTCTATATGTTATTATATGCGTAATTTTGAAGAGTGCTCTGCCAAATCTTAAACATCTAACCTTGGTTGAATGTCCTGTCACACAAATTCCCAACTACCGGGAAGCAGTATTCGAGGTCATACCACACTTGTATTCTCTTGACGGTGAAGATCGGTAAGTTTTAATTAACGAATTTGTATGTCAGGTTTACGCACAGCAAACCGGAAATTAATACTATTAATTAGAACGGGCAAAACGATAGACTCGGAAGAGGAAAGCGATGCAGAAGAAGATGAGGACGAGGATGAGGACGCCGACATCATGCGATTGAATGGGCGTGCAGGTTCTATTCTGCTGCTGACGTTTTTAGGCAGTAATTGATATACAGTATATCGATTAATTATTAGAGCTCACCTATTTAGATGATTCAGAGGAAGAAGAGAATCAGGAAGTTGAAGTCAGCGAAGAGGAAGTCGGATCTGGTTCTGAAACAAATGAAGAAGCTGGTGACGACTCAAATGGAGAGCAAGAAACCAATGCCGTAAGTTTAGTTCCATTTAGATGTCAAAGAGTTTTATTTTATTTATGTTTTAAATAACCATTTCTTAATATTTTAAAGAATGAAGAAATATCTGATAGCGAAGAAGAACAACAACTGGTTGAAAATTTGATTTTTATATGATACTTCTAATTTCAAATGCTGATTTTTTTATTATTCATAATTTTAGGAAACAAGTGAAGTCGAAGAAGAACCTGAAGTTGAGAAAGTATTTTCAAAAGATAAGGGGAAATCTGTAGCGTTTCGTGAAGAGGAGGAAGATAACGAGAATAATTCTGATAGTCAGCAAGAAGAAGCAGACTCT